TGTTTTAAGACTTGCCCCGTTTATAAGCTTTTTCATCCTTCAGTAACTGGAGAAGTTAACTCCATTTACATGAGGCAACCTGGAATTATTACAAGACTCACTAAAAACACTCCCCTCTCCCTGCCAGCCCATCCTTCAGTGACCTGCTCCCAGTCAGATGTGAAAGGCAGACCCAGACACGACCTCCACAGGACTTCACAGGGCTGGGTGCCTGCCTGGGTTTCACCTGGTCCCGCTGAAGCCAACTGCTGACCCCACCCTGGCACCGGCTGGGTGCTGCACTTACCTCTCTGAACATGTCTTACTGCCTTCCCACATGGCAGGGCAGATTTCCTGTTTTCATACATTGCCTTGTCAGCCCTAATCAGTGTCAATAGGTTATGGTGTCTTTTGTGCTGGCAGGAAAGAACTTTTAATCTCTTCCCTCACACCGAGCGATGAGAAGCTGCAGGCACTCCCAGACATAACTCCCTTGGCTCCTCTCCGAAAAATTCTCTCAAGCACTCGGTTGCTTAGCAATATTTGCCTTCCCCCTGTACGGTTCAAATTGGCAACATCTGTCCCTTTGGCACTTTCCACTTGTGCAAGAAACAGTGTGGAGAGTTTCAGAAATCTACAGAGAGGTTGATGGAGCATGATTCGAGTGAGCCATCAGAGCTGCTTTGGCATTTTATTGCTGGTTTATTTCCAGCCTGGATAGAAAATGTGGCTTCTTCCAAAGGAGATGCACACAAGGGAAAATCCTCTTTTGCATCCGGTGGGACTGACCTATTAAATCAAATACAAGTAGCTTTTTCTGTTTACATAACTACACCCGCATGCTCTGGCTTGGTTTAGCTGAAAAACCCAAACAAAACACAGCACTGACATACAATTCTTTCCTGTCAACTGGGACTGACTGTGACTTCTCCTAAGATATTGCATGCTCATCAAGGGAGAGAAAAACAAGAGAAGCCAAAATGTGTTTATGCATTTAAAAATGCAAAAGCTGTGTGCGATCCTGACCTCATAACCACTAGTCAAACCCCTAAACTGCCTGTGGTCCATGCAACCATCCCAAGAGGCAGTGATCAAGGTCATTGCCTCTGGATGTACCTGCAACCCAGCGAATGAGGGGAACAAGAAATTAAAATAATTTAAGAGCATAAAAAGTACCAACTGCTTTCACTTCTGAGAGCCAAAAGGGAACATGGAGAAGACCCAAGTGAAAGGATTTGCCTTTGGGCACTTGGTATGACAAGGAGCAGCACAGAATCCCACAATAAACCTTCCTCTGGCTGCAATTCATTTCTGCTCACACCACAATGCCCAAGGGTTGTGAGAAAGGCCTTGGCTGGCACAGCTTTGGATATTTACATGGAAGTTGTTAGGGAAGCCTACCAAAATGACAGTTTCAGCTCTTATGGTGAGGTTGAGGTTAACTTTTTTTGCATTTAAAACTTTTCTTATCCAAAACAGTCAGAAAAAGTAACAATTCTCATTCATGTTTGATCTGCTTCTTTAGCAGTCACACACAGCAGCAACAAGACAAATTAATACAATGCCTGTGAGGAAGGTTGGAAACCCTCCAATCACCTAAGGCACTTCTGATTATAAAAAGGGCAGCAGGGGTAACACCTTGTTACCTGTCTTGGTGCAAAGCAAGGAAAAAAAATAGTCAAAAAAGGAATACAAGGAGCAAAGGGAAAAAAGCCCCAAACAAAACACAATCTCCCTTCTATTCAGTAAATGAGAAATACATAAAAGATTGGTAGAAAGATGACAGTAGCTTAATGCTGACTACTGTGTTTCATTACATAAGACCAACAGTGCTACGTACATCTTTAAAGATTTTCATTTTGAAAGGATGCAGAATTAAAACAATATATTGATTTCTACTTTACAGGGTTCACCTGTCTGACAGATTCTGCCAGTAGAAAAACTCAGGTGCCATGAAGAGAAGTCCAGTGAAAAATTATCTACCTAGAGCAGACTTTTTGTATATTTTCCATCCAAACATCTTAGTAGGTATTTAGTAATTCCTATTTACTATATAACAACCACATTTTAATTGGTGAACATTGATAAGTGTTTACTGAGGAAAACAAAGCTCAATGACAGCAACTTGAACACAAGGATAATACAGCATTACCAAAAAGACTTAACACATCTGGGCTGCTTCATTGTTGCTTAGGGGTTCTAAATTGACTGCTTTCCTATTTGCTTCTCACAGGCAGGAGAGTCTGGTGAGGCCCCATTACACAAGGTAGAAGAAACTATGCCCTCATACCCCCAAAATTTTTGAGAAAACAAAGCCAAACCTTCAATGAGCATCAAGGGCCATACATTCCTCCATACACTATGCCCTTAATAATGCTTGAGGATTTATAAACATTCTCCCTCAAAACAGCCTGAATGCTTCTTCCCCTGCTGTCAAACAGATTCCCTTTCACACATCATAGTCTGTGTCAATGGAGGCAATACAAGGGTCTTTGTTGGTGCTGCAGCCCTCCTAGAGACAGGGAGAGGGAGAATGGCTTTAAAAGCATCTTTGTTTAGGTGTTGAAGAAGAGGAAAAACCTGGCACATGAAGAGAAGGGACATGCTTCATGTGTGCTACGTTTTTAAGCCTTCTCACAACAAATTTGGGAAGATGCCTTAAAGGGACAGTGATGACATTTGAAAGTGAAGGCTTTGATTTGGGGAAAAGGGGGAAGAGCTGTTCAGTGTCTCTGTGAATGCAAAGTGAGTCACTGCGCTGTTATCCACTCTGCAGTCAAACTGTGTGCCTGTTTGGCCTGGAAGGCTGAACTTTTCAGTGTTCCCATGAGCAGGAGCTGTCAATAATGAATTCACAGCTGCAGGTGAAACACGCCTTAGAAATCAATTAACCAGAACACATGTTGAGGAAATGGCTTCCCTAAGTCATGTCAAGGGAGATTACAGGAAAAACTATATTTGGCATGTGGCTGTTCAGTAAACTGGGGCCAAACAGCTCAGGGAAGAGGAGGGAAGAACAGCAGAGTTTCTGCTAGTCTAGAACTATTCACTGTCAGGGTCGTTGCAGGGCAGGAACCTCCCCACAGTTCCTGTTTCACCAAGAAATAAAGAGGGGGACAAGCTTCCAGCCAACAGACCCTCAAGCAGCCTCCCTTGTACAGGACACCTAGCACACAGGCCATATATCCAGGGGTGCCACCTCACTGTTTCTCCCTCTTCTCCCTCCAGGCTTCAGCCCTGGAGGGTTCTATTATCAAATAGATGTTCATCACTGAGATCAAACAGAAGTAAGCAAATGTGACAATGACAAGACTGATAAAAACAGAAATCAAAATAATGTGTTTTTCACTAGAGCTTACAGAGCCATTATCCAAAATGCCTGTATTTCTCCGTGCCTATGCACAGAAAACAATCAGGGGACACAGCCTAAAGATCCCTCCTGCAAAGCAGGATAATTCAGCATATTTACAGAAAAGGTTCTTCTGTCAGCTTCAAAATGGACTAAGCATATAATTAAAACCAGGGTCCTGGCTTGTGCAAAACCATATTTTATTATCTTCAATTCCCTTTTTACTGTGTTCTTACTTTGCCACAGATCAAACAGGAGGAGCATGAGCAATGGTACTCCTGCACTGGCAGCTGTAGGATTTTCATGGGCATTTGGACTCAGACTCACATGTTCAACAGGAAGTGAGAAAAAGGTCTCATTCAGCACACAGCATCATATCTAATGCTGCCCTATCAAAATTCATATTAAACCAGAGTTACATGAGATGACAGAAGAAACATGGGAGTGGGAAAAGAGATAAGACAATAATGCAGATGAGACAACAAGATAATGTAGAAGGTGATGCCCTGCACTGCTGTCTTTCTCTCCCAGGAGTAAAATCTGGTTAAGCAAATAAGGTAATGTGGACCTCAGTGAACTTCCTGTTTTCAGGTGTGATGTGCAATGCCAAACCTACTTGGTAGCAAATAAAGTCTCTCAGCATGAAAGTATTTTCACAACTTCTCAGCAATGTCATTTTGACAGTTTCCTCTCATTTCCCACAAGATACTGCCTACAGCCATTTGCAGCTGATCCACACCCTTTTCCATGAAAAACAGACTGCACCCACTCTCTTCCTTTTCATTCCAGAGGCAGCAAAATACAATTTGAAACAATCTCCATGGCTCTCCTTGCCCAGCTGTCTTAGGACCATGGAATCCTACATCCCATAGGGCACAGCAATCACATCAGGACTGACGGATGAGCACAGTAATTCTCCAAAATGTACCAGGGGACCAAGTGCCTTTGAGCCCACAGGAGGCCAAGCCACGAGTCAGGCAGAGCCAGTGTGCAGGTCCCTTGGGACAGCTGAAACTGGGTTTCAAAGAGCACAGGAAAAGGAGCTGCATTTGCTGAACACCACACGTACAATGCTGCTGCTCCTCCTCCAGTGCTTTACCTGCTTTCTGCCTCCATCCCACATGACAAATCAGAGAGGTGGTCTTGGGTCAGCAAAAACAGATGGAGTACTGCAAGGAAACTTGCAATATCAAGTCATACTTTCCTGTGGGTCTACAGTGAGATTTTAGCACCTTACAGAGGAGAATCCTGTGCTGTTCACAGTCACAAAGCCCAGGTGACCACAAAATCCACTTTACTGCTGGCTGTCCATATTCAGTGAGGATTTCACCACCACTCAGAGTCCTGACACTCTGCATCAACACTTGATCTTCTCACCGTATCATTTCCCCCTTCTTTTCAACAAGTCTTAGTGGAAAACAAAAATTATGGGCACGAAGGCAGGTTCAAACTATAAAACCTGCTGCAGCCTCACTGAGAAAATAACAGAAAAATCACAGGAAGTGTCACATTTTCAGCATTCAAACAGGTATCTCGCACCCAGGTCAATCTCAAAATGCACCTTCCAAACACACAGTCATCACTGCTTCTGGAAGTCACTGCTGTTTGATGAGCTGTTCTCCCACAGCCAAACTTACCCTGATCCAACAGACATCCCAAAAATTGCACTCACCTCTATGGGCTCAGAAGGGGTTTCGAATTTGGACAGTTCTGCTTTGGCTTTTGCCTTCAAATCTGAGAGATCATCATCAGTCTCTTCCTTGGGCTCAGAAGGGGTTTCCAACTTGGACAGTTCAGCTTTAACTTTTGCCTTCAAATCCGAGACATCTTCATTGGGTCCTTCATGGTATTCCTCCAGGAGAGGTTTGAGCTCCAGGGATTCAAATGATGCCTGATCTTGGCCATCCATGGGTCTGACATAGGCAGTTGGTTTCTGCTGCATTGCACTGGCTTTTGATGTCAAAGAAGGGGGAAAAGTCTGAGAGGAAGGCTGAGTGGTGCTGGTCAAGGTAACGGCTGGGCTGTCCCGACTTTCCTTCTCCTGTGATCCTGTCACTAAGTCCTGTAATGATTTGGTTTGACTGTAGGTTGACCCATGACTTCTGCTGCTGTTCTGTGACCTGGAATTGACATGCTGGCTGGAATGTAGAGGTGACAGGGGTGCCACGGGAGAAGACAACAAACACGGCAGGAACGGGGAAAGTGCCAGAGGGGAGGCCTGCAGACCATGAGCACGACCTTCCCCGCTCCCAGGCTTGCCTTTGTGGCTGTGGGGAAAACCTGCCTGAGTGTCCCGGCCACCACGGCCGTGCTCCTGACCGTGGCTGCGAGCGCTGGGTAAGCTGCGGCCCTTGCTGTGCAAACCTGAAGCTGGTTCTGCTCCTGACTGTGCCTTTTGGTAATGACTGGAGTGGCTTGGAGGACGAGAGGGTACAAGCATGGGTCCCACGGGCGGACAGCGGGTCAGGTGCTGGAATGAAGATGGCAATGTACGGATGGCCTTCTCAGGGAAGTACGGGCGATCAGGCTGTCCGGGGGGAAACTGAGGGGCAACGCTCTTTGGAATCCCTATAAGGTTTTGACAAGATTTGTTGCTCATGAACTCCTTGACCTCCTCATAATTGCCCAACATGTTCTGAATTCGGCTTGACAACTCATCTCCTTTATTAGTCTGCAACAGAAGAACAAAGAGGTGGACATTTCAAAAGCTGCCCAAGAGATCCAGCTGAGGAAGAGACATTCTTCAGGATCTTAAGTTAATCACCACACATCACCATGAGTGAAGTTAGGCAAGCTCATCTTGATCCTGCAAATCTCTCCAAACCAGATGGGACTGCTTGAGCCACTATCAAGCCAAGCTTGGTGCACCTGCAGCCTCCAGGAGTGCTAACACCAGATTCATTTGTTACACCCATAGCTGCAGGCAGACAGGCAGCCAAGCTACTCCTGAGCACCCTCCCTCAAACTACAGGAGGCCAGCCCGAAGTCCATACTGCTCTTGCACAACCAACAGAGATTCAACCACATAACTCTGAGGAATTGAAATTAAAACAAATGGGAAGATGCTGTGTTTGTATTTATCATGCTCAAGTCTGCTACACCCTCGGCAAAGCACAGCTCTCCTCTTCCATCCCAACCCTCTTTGCTCCTCTCTTCCCCTCCCAACCCCCCGTAACATTACCTTGTAGGGTTCTGCAAAGAGGGGAGTTTTCTCAGAGAACTGTTTTTTGTCTTCCAGAACCTCCTGACTCCGTCTCTCTTTCTCTCGAATCCGCAGCAAGTTTCTGTCCTCATTGCACAAGCTTTAGGAAGGAGAGAAAGGAAGGATGATTAACATGGTACACCAGTGTTATCAACAAGTATCTACTCTGTACAGAAACCCTGGCTTCAGACAATGGCATACAACCAGAATGAAAGTAACTTTGAAATCCATGGGATAGTTACAGCTGACAAATCAGTTACATCAAGAATTTGCTGCATAACACAGTAATGTGGCACACAAGGTATATGCATCCTTCTCAGTGACTTCTACTCCTGACACCACCCTTCAGTAACAGTGGGAAGAAAAAGCTATCCATCCATTTCATTGTGAAACAAATTGAGGAGCAGTCAGTGGGGGTGACAAGCACACCAGCTGGCAAGTCCATTTGCAACAATAACTGTGAAAAACCAACATTCTTATTCCTCAGACTTCCACCCCAACTCTTCACCCAGGAGTAAAAGAGAATCCATTATGTTGAAGATATTGTCACTTTCAAAGAAGGAACTTTGCCTACTTGACAAAAAACAAGGCAATGCTACTTGGCAATAAACAGGCTTGAAAGCTGCTCACCAGGAAACCCATGCAGTTGCATTTAAAGCAATGCAAACATGTTTAGAAAGGTCTCAGAAACTCAGAAAACAGCAGGTCAAATCCCCTGTTCCTCCTCAATGACATCTGCATGCACTCAACTCCAGCAGCCCCACAACAAAGTACCAATAAACCTGCGTCACATGCACAGCAGAAAGATTTCATGGAAAGCCAGATCCTTTAAACTGCACCTTGCCTGTGAAATTCTACTGCAAAACAAGGGAATCTCTTGCTCTAATCTTTATAGACACTGGGGATGGAAAAGCATGCAGGCATTTCTCTCCTGCCCTATTTCTACTCTACTGCACAGTCTACTGTATACATACAATTCCTATATTGCTCTTCATACTTGCAAATTCTCAAGTGCCCACTTTGCAAGGGAAGAGCCTTGTCCTCCCTACCAGTGAAATCTTCCGAAATGTTACACCAATAGCCACCTACTGAAAGTTTAATCATCAACAGAGGAGAGGCAGAGGACTGGCTTTGCTGTAGCAGCTAACCAAGAGGTCTGACTGCTGCAGAGGGGGTTTCCTAATGCAATGGGAGCTCTGGAAAATGATGCTGACAGATGGCAAATTTCTATATACGGAACTGAAGTAAGGATGTACTTGTACCACTAAGGCAGAAAAACATATTCAGGGGTTACACTGTGCACGTTTAGCATAGTTTCCAACTTTGCTAGTGTCAAACTGTTTCCAAATATAGCAAAACAGAAGAGTCCAGTAATAGCTATGTACCCTACTCCTGCAAACAACTTTAAACGTTCATAAAAGAAAAAAGAAGAAAGCAGGAATCACTGACTCTGCTTCAGTAAATAGATACAATCCTTCTGTAATAAACTGTATAATGGAACATTTCCCCTGTACATATGATGTAATTTTTGCATGTCAGCAATTTCCTATCTATAAGCAGATAGTTGGGGAGTTGCACTGTGTGTGCCAGAAAAGCTTTGTGCAGTCAGGTGTGGGAAACACCAGCTGCAGAACACAAAAACTTAGGAAAAATTATAAGGTAAACTAGAAGCAATATTGGCTAGATTTACTATCTAAAATGGTATGCTTGCAAATGTGTTTTTTTTTTTTTAGTGAATGTGTTTTTTCACAAAAAGGCAGGCCATATATTATGACCCTGAAAATGACTTTTTACCAAAACACTGTGCTTGCATCCATGTGGACTATGGATGTCCTTCTATTTCTAGGCTGGCAAGCACCCAAACTCAGAGTAACCAAGTTGTTTTGCTCAGAGGTTCTGATCACATTCAAACAAAAGGAAAACCCTAAACCACTTGAGTCTCTCACAACAATAATATTTATGATGAGAAGTAGCTATGTTTCCTGTATGTACCCTGACATTGAATGTAAAACAACTTGCGTGCTGCTTGCTGCAAAGACAGCAGCTGTAATACCTCTGAAGGCCTTTTCTTTCCCTGAACCTTCCTTGACCCCAAGCTCTCTTCCCAGCAATAAATTCTTTCTAAAGAGTGTGCAGGGGGGAAGGGGGGCGGGGGTAGAGGGGAAGGGCAGGGACACTGCCTGTCTGCCATAGTGCCAGTTCCTGAAGGTTTAAGAGGAGACAAAGGTGCCTGCTCAGGAACCTCACAGCACACACGGGTGCTCACACACGTACGGGAGCACCGGGCACTGCTCAATCTTCAACACCCTCATGGGGTACAGTGGCTCGGGCTGCTGGCCGTGCACAGCCAACCGGCCCTGCAGCCAGGCCAGGGGTCACTCCCCTCCCCTTTGCCGCTCGGGATCACCATCCACCCTCTGCCTCCCGGTCTGAATCGGGTCAATGTAATTTTCATTCCGAGTTTTCCTCCAACTTCATTGAACAGAAGGAGCTACAGTTTCAAAAGCAGAAGTCTAAGGGGCAAAAACATTAAGTAGCTACTTATTTAACAAAGCAGTCGAGAGCAGCAGCCTTCCCTTCTCTAAGCTGCAGACACGACCTTTAACTGCCTGAAGACAAGAGCTAAAAACACTTCCAATTCTATTTTATCATATAGATGTCATGAAAACTTTCTGAAAACCTGGGCTATGCTGTAACTCACATGGCAGCTCCCTAAGGTCAAGTGTCAGGAAGCTAAGCAGAAAGCTCAGGCCCTGCGTGGCCCCGTGCCAAGAGGAGAGGAGGTCTCCATGTCCTGCCAGGCGCCAGCACGGAAACCCATGCGGAGACACCGTCTGCCAGGCTCCGGCAAGGCGGCCCTCGTGCACGCACAGCCCCAGCCCCGCTGCTGCCAAAGCTGCGGGGAGAACCCCAACTCCTGCTCTTCATGAACCTCTTCAGACTCCCGGCTTTGATACTCCGATTTTCCTAGAATGAGAACTCAAGAAAAAGCTCAAAACCACCCCAAGTTGTTCCTTACTGGTTTGCAGAAATGCTTTGGGAAATTGGACCTCGAGGCTTGGCACCAACGCACCAAGCACAGGGGAGGCTGGGACTTAGGGGATATATGCACAAATCACCCCCACCCCAAAAAAACCCAAATAGTGCTTTGATACAGACTGAAACAGTAGAATTCTGCTGGGCTCAAAGCAGCCCAAGGTGAAGGCACTACACTGGCTCCCATAATAAGGATTTGGTTCAGGAAGCTCAGCAAAGCACACACCCTGACTCACAACATCATCCAGACTTGGGTCTGTAACAGAAGCCATAAAATACCGACGTGCTCTGAGGCTGCTCTCAGTGACATGCCAGCCCTTACTACATAGGTTCAAATGCTGATATGTGACAATCCAGACCATGACAACATTTTCAAAAAATAGGCTGGAGCAGGAAGAAATTCTGCCTCTTCTGTCCCGTGTGTTCTCCAAGTGAAAATGAAATGAAAATAAAAATCTGCTTTAATTGTAATAAGATCTAGTACTGGCTCCCAAAAGGAATTATCCAGAAGCAAGGAAGGAAGGCAGAAAAACGTTAAAAAGCAAACACACAGAAAACACTCACTTCCCTCTTAACATGCAGAACCTCTTCCTCTGAAACACTGAGACACAACATTTCATTTTAGTACAACTGCAGGAAAACACAAATTTATTGAAGCTGTTTTGTCATTAACATTGATTCTTTTTTTAATGTGAGAAAATGCTGATCATGACTGAGAGATGTATTTTTGCTTAAGGTAAGACACATCATCCCCGAGAAAACAATTAAACAGAGATCACAAGGATGCATCACAACAGTCTTGCTGCAGCACCCCTGCTTGTTTCCTATTAAAATCTCCACAGAATAATTGCCACAATTTATAGAGCCAAGATCACATCTGCAAAGATTAAATATGCAGTTTCATTCATCAGGCCATCAGCCTGAAAAGAAACGTGGATAAAGTCATGGCATAGAAAGCTATTGAGCATCACAGCTGTGCTCAGCTCTCACACTGGTATCACCTACACAGCCTGACAGTAACTGCAAAACAAGCAGATGGAAGGACAACACTACAGCTAATACCAAACAGCACCAAAAACTCCCTGTCCCAACCTTTGCTTCCTTTCCTTTATGGAGATATTGACAAGTTGTAACTTGCTGAATCTTTTGTGTTCTGTTTCACATCAAACACTTTCTCAGAAAAATACACAGTTTGAACAAGAGAAAAACATAGGGTAGAAGTACAACAGATGGTACATTTAGTCAGTAATTTTCTGCACCATCATCATCAATCAGCTTTGGCACATGCTTCCCAAAAATACATATCTTCACACTGAAGTGACATGAATTGGAATTAGCTTTTCAAGACTTTGCTTCCTCTAGCTCCTTCAACTCATCACATCTATCCAGACCTGTTCACTGACTATATGACAGGAGCATCAGACCCACTGAGCAAGAGATCAAGGCCTCACAGCCCACCTGTTTATCTACAATGACTATAAGAAACCTCCTGTCAAATATTTTTGGACAAAAAAAGCATTCCAAGAAAATGCGGCACTGCTGCAACCCTTCCTTCAAAGCATATGGAAAAATGATTCTGAATACACCTCTTTTTATGTTTTAAACACAGAGTCCTCTAGGTTACAAAAAAAAAAAAAAAAAAATTGAAGCAGAGAAGGCTGGGATGTTGTGGCAGGCAGAAGGGAGCTGCCACTTTGCTTAAGTAGAAGCTAAGTTGGCCTTTGCCAGAAAAAAAAAAAAAAAAAAAAACCAAAAAAACAGTTCTACTTTTGTAACATTAATCATCTTCTCACTCAGCCTCTCCTATGGTAATCTTTGGGTTCAAATTCTTACTTATTTGTTTCCTCCCACTGTTGCCAAGTTAAAAATTATATTCATTACTCAGCCATTAAAAGCTTTTGCTTCCTTTCAGCATCAATAGGCCTTTGATCATCAAGCAGTTCCCAGGGGTAAGCCTGATCTTTTCCTAAGAACTGAGCCCCTGCAGCGCCCAGGACTTTTTCAGGAACTGGGAACTCTCAGATGTTCTTCAAACATGACAGATCCTTCATAGACTGAACTTAA